GAATTCGTGCTTTGCCACCAAACGTGTAGGAGAAAGCGTTTTTTGGCTATGTCTTCTATGATATATGTTTGGATTTACAAGGCCATCGAAAGTTAATATGGAAAATGCATGCTACGTAAGTAACAATTTTCTGCCGACTGTGATTTTTAAAGGAGGCCGTAAGGAAGTGCATTCGAAAGCCGACATTCTGGCGAGTCTGAAATATTATGGGACTATGCGGCGTAATATTCAATATTATAACCCCACCCAAGCAATTCTTTCTAATGGAGAAGTCATTTCAGAATTTCGGCTAACATTTCGTGAGATCGGTCACTGACTGTACTATAACTAAAAAAGAAATCACCCGCAGGTTACTGTCCCTGATTCCACCCTGCTGAGGAGCTGACGGTGGACATTGTCGGTCATGGCGGTTGAACTGTCGCATGCGCGCGAATTCCGTCCAGCTGAGGCCAATCAGTGAAGAGAGGAATATTGATCGGCGTCACGCCGCCAGAAGACAGAGGCTGAGTTACGCGTGTGGGCGGAACGAAGGCAACAGGGGCAAGCGACGGCGCTGACGACCGCGAGAGCGGACAGCTATGTATGCAAGACTGACACCGATGGGCTCCCACTCAGGTAATTTTTACATCTGATGGAAAGATTTTCATGGGATTTGCGGGTTGACACCTGAAAAATCTCACTGGGGAGTGGTAAAAGACCGGTAGATGTCCTGTAGGTAGTGTGTCTCCAGGATTGCCCCCACCAAAAGGGCCGCGTGGTAGATGCGTTGGACCAACACGGGGGCCATATGGGATCCTGGCAGACATTATCGGATTACGAACCATAACAAAATGTCAACAGTTCGGGGTGCGGTAGCAGACCCGGTTGCCGGCAGACGTCGTGCACACAGGGACCGATGCCGCTCCCCATTGTTGTTGTTGGTCAAAAAACTTGGTCATTTGCTGTGTGGACCAGGGGACGTGGAGTGGAGCGCCAAGGTGCGGACTCGATCGTGCCAACCCCCTGCGCCCTCCTCCTCCGGTCTTCTTGACTCTGTCTTGACACCGGGTCGAGGTGGGGGAGGAGAGGGTGCAGTAGATGCTATGCAAGTTTACATTCACTGTAAACTACTTCACGCACAAGTCACCGACCCTGCTCCCGCCTGCTGTAGAGAACACGGTGGACATCGTCGGCGACGAGGGTCGAACCGTCGCGTCTCCAGGACGAACGGACAGCGTGTTGTCATCGCGCCCTGGTGTTTAGGAGCCGGGAGCTGACAACGATGCGCATCCGCAGATCACCACAGCATGCATTTATTGGGTTGTTCTATAAGTTCGCTCTCTTTCTAATCATTTAAAGATTTGTCGTGCTATAAGTAGTTTGCTGTATTCATGCTAGGTCACTTCGTTCCGCAACCCAACCAACTTCTGACTATTTACAGCCTAAAACCGGGTGTCAGGTCGAATAAAATGAATATTTCCGACATCTTCCTTTATTCGAGTTTGTTTGTGCTTCATTGTTGACCCGACATCGTCTCGTTCGTTAATAACGTAAACAATGTTACAGCTTACTACTACTGGCGATAAAAAGTGTTGCTTATAAGTAGTATGAAACAAAGGCAAGAATGACTAAACCCCAACAAGCAAGCAGCACATGGAACCAGACCCGATCTTCATCTTCCCAAGAAGATGCTGGGTTTCTAATGGGACATGAAAAGGGTTACTTATTATGAATTGTTTGAACGGAACCAGAGCATTAAAAATGGCGATGAAGGCATGCCGAGCGAAGGCGGCATGTTTCCCTGACTTATTTTCGAATGAGCGATCCGTCCCGGGGGTGGTTGGCACGCTTTTCCATTGCTGATGATCTCACTGAGCATGCCCCTTCCATGGAAAGCTTTAAGGCGATCAAATCCCGACACTTCGTTTTTCGCGTTTTTCCATAAAGTTCCCACAGTAAACCTGGGCAGCTGGTAAAACTGATTTATCGTCAGCTTTACCCGAATCAAGATGAGAGCATTTTATCGTCTACAAATGTCTGATGCTTGCACACGCTTTCAAGAAGTAGAGCTAAACCCGAACCTATTTTATCACGGCGAATATTTAAAATTAAAAAAATATTGAATGGGTTTCTCTGAAGTAACATGAGATACATAAAGACCCAAGGCAGGAAGTAAATGAAGAACTCTGTTTTGAAGTGAGTGCTATATTTTCCTCCAAGATGTATCTGTTAGATTTCACTAGATAAACACTGCTGGGCATTTTCTAGATCAACTTCTCATCGGCTGTACATGTTTCGTGAGTTAGAGGATGGCTATACAAGTAACCTGGAAAATCAAAACTGACTTGCTGACGCTTTGCACAATCGCTGAATCCAAGTCAACATTAACGAACAAAAAACAGAATGTAGGAGAAATGCTTAGAAAACTGTACAAAAGATTTTGTTCTGCAGAAAACCAAGCGTTCCGTTTATTGAAGGTTTGGGTTAGTCGACGAAGATGCTACCCAATAAATTGACGAGGCTACACGCTTTTCGGGACATTCGAGTTTCAGTTACCGACAGGCAGTCGAACTTTGCGAGATTCGAAGGAAAAAACCAACGCATCTGGCAGGATAATATAAATCCTGAATTACTACTGAGATCAGGTTAGCAAACATAAGAGATCGGGGTCGATAAACTGAGGAAAAAGAAGTGCTTTCCGGATCGAGGGAATTGTCTTGCTGTCGTTTCGGGGAGCTTGACCGGCATTCCATTATCAAAGCGTTTATTGTCGAAGTCGATCAGAATTCTGAATAGACAGCTGAATTAGTTGGCCGTGTACTGCTTGATTTTTTATTCTTTCGCTGCCTTAGCCTACTGGTCGTCGTTTGTGAGTGTTGGTGGCCTCCTAAATTGTGTGTCGTCACCTCAATTGGAGTTAGTTGCGTCTGTACCCCCCTTCGGCCTATAAAGTCCTACGGCACTACATACTCCATGGCCAGGGCAAAACAATCATACGGGGCTTAAGAGTACCGAGCAAACACGGCCCGTCGATTAATTCATTCAAAAGGGGGCATAAAAGCAACTAACCCCACTTGAGGTGATGACACGCAACACAGGAGGCCACCAAACTCTCCGGAACGTCAGCAAGACAATTCCCTCGATCCGGTGAACACTTATTTTTCCTCAGATTACTACAGGGAGTCAAAAAGAATTCATCGAAAGTCAAGAGAATGATATCGTACCTTCCACTTTCGAACCAGCCACGGAAGTTCACAAAGAACAAACTTCTTTAAGTTAAGTAATAAAGCAAAAATGGTTTGTTCCCCGTAGGACGTCCCTATATATACCTTTCGATGTTGATCAGGATTAGAAGGAGTGGACTGCATTGGCAGCTAATAGTTCTCGTCTTGCGGGACGGATAGTCCATTTATATTTCTTCCTTCCATTGGAATCAAAGTGTTGTCTCTAGACCAAGATGTTGATTAAGGCTGACTTGGCTAATTCTCATGCAAAAGATTAGAGGATTCTTATGTTTTGTTCGCCATGCCTCCGTTAGACGGAAACTTTGGTAAATGATGACTTAACCAGCGACTCAAGCGTCAGCAAAAGTGAACGTAGAAACGACTGCGGCTCGGTGACAGCCGCTTGACACGGCATGACTGTAGCCGACGACAATCCTCACGATACCCGACATCTTTTTTCAACGTCCAGCTGCCTCAGACTCGTTCACCTACCTTCCCTGCAAGCGCTTCCATAAGCGCCAGCATTA